AGCTGTTCTTGAGGGTAAGAGTGACCTGTGTGTGAAATTTGGTTACCCAAATCGTATTAGTTACGGAATTATTAATGTTTTAAGTTTATTGCTGGGATTTATGGATAACTTCACACCAGTTAATTATGTTGAAAGTGTCTATTTTAAACGTTTATTGCAGGCAACATCACCGAAATATAAAGAGGTCACCAATTTTTTACAGACCTTGTGTGTGATGAATTATATGGTAAAATGGTGCTTAACGAATTTGAAAAGCTAACATTCACTACAGATATTTGGTCTGATCCCAGCGCAGGCGTTTCACTTCTAAGCCTAACAACTCATGGAAGAACAGAAGATTTAAAAAAAAGTTAACATGGTTTTAAAATGTGAACCGAAGCACAGCAGTCATATTTGAAAAACTAAACTTAATGCTTAAAGAATAGCATCTATTCACGATAGAGGATCAAACATGATTAGAGCTATAAACTTGTCTCACTTTGCACATGCTAATTGCTCAATTCAGCAACTTCAATTATGCATCAACTCAGGTTTATTCGAAAATGAAGATGTCGTAAAAGTCGTTGAAAAATACAAAAAAATTGCAACCAATTTTAACCATTCCACACTGGCGAAGGACGAACTACATAAAATTCAAACCGAAAGACTTGACCAATCTTTCCTATCAATTATTCAAGATGGTCCAACAAGGTATGTATTAGTATATAATTATTTGTGGTTTTTTGTTTTTTTTTAATCATTAAACGATTTTTATTAGTTAGGACATAAAAGCTGTGTAAGTGAGTAATCTATTCCTGTCAGGTGGAACTATATTATGATAGAACGTTTCTTGAAAATAAAAAATTCTATTGTGCTTTATTTAAGTACTAACAGAATATCGGTATTGGTATCTTCTCAAGACTGGGAAATTATGGAAAAATGTGTGAACATATTGAAACCATTTGAAGAACTAACTAAAGAATTAAGTAATGGAAGAATAAAGACGTGAAGTTGCTCAAATCGTCAGAAAATTAATTTTAGAACTAAACTTAAACTTGCGCATATAGGAAATAATAACTTATTCTCAATTGCTACTTATTTGGATCCTCGTTACAAACATAAATTTTTTAATGAAATAATAGTTCAGGAACAAATCGAAACCGAAATTATTACCATTTTAACCAATTACTATGACTTACATGCATAAGAATTTAGTAATGAGAATGAATCGCCTCTGAAAAAAATTAAAAATGACGATACATTTCAAAATCAGATCATTCACATATTAAGAATGTTTTGAAAAATTTATTGGGCTCAAGTAGTGAGGAAGACGATGAAGAGGAAATGATTATGAACGACACACATCAAAATGCTACTAAATTGAAATCTCTTTTAGTCGACTATAATAAGCAGAAAAAGCTACATCTTTCTGAAAACCCCTTGTTGTGGTGGTACAACAATAGATTAAAGTACAAAGAGCTAGATTAAAGTATCTAGTGAACAGCTGTTTAGTGGTGCTGGTTTAGTATATGATCCTTTAAGAAATCAACTTAATAGTGAGAAGGCATCAAAACTCCTTTTTCTAAAATACAATCTTTTTTTGTTTAAGTTTCATTATTAATTTGTTAAGTGTAAAGTTAGTTACCTACAAAACATTTAATAAAATACTATATTAAGTAAAACTTATCTTTTGTGTTTTTGAATTTTGTTAAATGCTTTTCCTGTTGCACTTTTGTGTTTAAAATTTCCCAAAACAATTCGCATTCGCTATAAATACATTCGTAACAACCCTAGTCTTAAGACACATACAGCTATACCCAAATATTTCTAGCTCTACTATCATCGCAAAAAGTCAAGGCCCCCCACTTTAGAGATTGATATCTTCGTATCTTCGAGATAAGTGAAAAAAGTACCCGATTTTGGAGAGTGCCAACAACTTCGTCTACTTTGCGATTTTTTTTCTCCTAAACTATTTCAATTTCAAATTTTAACTGGTTATGCGGTTATTTCGAAAACGACCTGGCCGATTTTAACGTGGTTTTTATCAAAATATGTCAAATAATGTGGGTTGTCCGATTCCGTTATCAGTTTTTCAAAATTAGGGCTCCCTAATTTTTTAAGAGTGATTTAATGGAATTACAGATTAAAGAGAAACACAAATAAGCTATGCGGGGAGAGGAGGGTTCCGTCCAATGGGAACAGGTGGTGTGCCCCAGACAGTACGTCGCGCCTTTATCTTACCTACATAAAGAAATAAGGCGCGACGTCCTGTCTGGGACGCACCATGTATTCCGATTGGACGGAACCCCCGTCACCCCGCAGAACTTATTTCTGTTTCTCTTTAATTTGTAATTCCATTAAATCGCTCTAAAATAATTAGGGAGCTCTAATTTTGAAAAGCTGATAACGGAATCCGACAACCGACATTATTTGACATATTTTGGTCAAATCCGCGAGGAAATCCAAACAGCCGTTTTCGACATAACGGCGTCTTACTAAACCGCGATTTTCCGCGAAACTGTATGGAATATCGAAAAAATGATCAAAATGATCATTAAGAACACATCAAGCTACCACTTGTTCAAAATTCAAATTTTTTCGTATGATAGTTTTCTAGAAAAAAAATCGCAAAGTTGATAGTTGCCGGTACCGTAAAAAATCGGGTACTTTTTTCATTTCACTCGCGATAAAAAGAAAACCGCGGATCCGAACATTTTCAAATTAACATATGTTAGATAGAAATGTTCAGTGATTACAACAAATATTGTCGCAATTTTTTTTATAGAGCGGTTGCGAAGATATCGATCTCTAAAGTGAGGGGCCTTGAATTTTTACACGGACAGTAGATCTAGTTTTAGTTGTTATTCGTGTTAGATTGTTGTATATTTTTGTTGAACTAAAAGTAGAACTAAAACTAATCAAAGAAATATAAATAAACTCAAAAAAGACTGGAATAATCATAATCCATACTTCAGCAAAAATGTAAGAATTATACTGGTGAAAAACCAAACTTAAGGGAATAGTCGGGAATACTCTGGTCAGAAGGTTAATTTGCAAGAAAAAGTCTGAAATTGCAACAGTTATAAACTAGACTTTAGCAAAAAAAAACAGGAATTACATTGTTCAAAGTCCACATGAAGTCTGCAATTACTATTCAGAGAAAACAAAAAATTGATTATAAACCAAACATGATTTTTCATGGCAATACTTATGTGCTCAATAAAAGAATGCAAAGAATATGAACAAGAAACCAATGGACTTGTCTTGTTATTGCACAGGACAGAAAATCACCAATGCAGGATAAGCACAAAAGCAAAGTAACAGCTGCAGAAATGAGGTACCGGGTGGTACAAGATCCGAATAGATAATAAGAGGCTTCCAAAAAGATCTACTGCTTCTAAAAAACTAAATACTGCTTTCTGAATACTAGATACTGCTCTGGAAGATTAAATACTGCTTTCTGAAGACTAGAACAGGTCTAAATACAGCTTTTGGAACACTAAATACTGTTTTCTAAAGACTAAAATTGCTTTATGGAGACTAAATACTGCTTTCTAAAGACTAGATACTGCTGACAAGTCTAAGTACTGCAAAAGAAAGATAAGATATTGTTGGAGAAAACATACATAACGTTGGCAAAAGACTAGATACTGCTTCTAGAAGACTAAATACTGCTTTCTGAAGACTAGATACTTCCGACAGGTCTAAATACAGCGTCTGGAACACTAAATACTGCCTTCTAAAGACTAAAATTGCTTTGTGGAGACTAAATACTGCTTTCTGAAGACTAGATACTGCTGACAGGTCTAAGTACTGCAAAAGAAAGATAAGATATTGTTGGAGAAAACATTAAAAAGGCGCCGGCGCCCCCTTTTAGGCGGCGCCCGGGTGCAGTGCACCCCTTGCACCCCCCGGTAGCGCCGCCACTGCTAAACTCCATCATGTTTCTTCTTTTCTATTATGAACCTTATTAAGTCTCAAACTAATAACATTATAAAACACGAATAGAATAAATTTAGCATTTGCTAATTCAAAGTGTGAATGAAGGGGTCATTGAGCTGTGCACAAGTTCTCAAGATTTGGCAGTCCTCTTAGATTCTACGGTCCTTACATACAGGTTAATTTAGATGTATAATTTATATGAAACAAATTTTCTAACCTGACAAAAAGAAAATAACCACCAAGGAATTAATAATAGAGAACCAATGGATTTGAACATCCGTCATAGCTAAATAAGTGTCCCATCTTGAAGCCCAACTGATCGCTGAGTGTCTCCATTGCACTTCATAAGTAAATAAAAGTTTTGTACCAGATTTGGCATCAACCAATTGAGGTTTTGGCCTCGTTGGGATTTCACAACCATTCTTATCAAATTTTAAGTCTTCTATACTAACTGATTTTGCTTCAACATGAAATCCAACTACTCTATACACTTCCCTATTAAAAAAAAAAAAATAAAAATAAACTATTATTACAATATAATAATAAAAAACTTACGGTGTAGGATTATGATACATTAAAGTTAATTTTAGATGATTGTTAATATAACTTTTATCGCCTACAATAACACCAAGTTTATAACCATGTTCATATTGCATTTCGTTCGTTTCAGGATTCTTTATTGGTGTAGCTGCAGGTAAATTATCAACTAATCTAAATCAAATAAATATTATACAAATTCTAATTAAAACAACAAAATAACTTACAAATGTACAAAATATTCGTGTTGAATCCTATCAATAACTTTTTGAGCCTCAAATAATTTCCAATTCATTGGTTTGTTGGGTTCGTTACACAATAATGCACACGAAACATTTTCAGCCATGTGGACTTCATAAGGGGTATTCACAATACGATCACCTCTTAGCACTTCCCCCAAGTTTTCCGATTTATAATTCAATTCCTTGTTTTCAGGCATACAAAGTGGTAACGAATAATACTCGTAAGGTAATTGGGTGTGTACGCTGGTCATTTTTACCGCTTTTACGGTAATTTGTTCACCTTTTTTAAATTCCACTGGTGCCATACCGGGTACGTAAAATTGTAAACTCGGCGAAAAATACAACAGGATGAAAAATAGAAGAGTTAACCTCTAAAAATTTGTGAATTAAAAATTAATTGGTGAAATAAAGTACTTATCAATTAGTTTTAGGTTATATTTTCGTTACGTACCATTTTAAGTGATTTTGGGTATAAATAAATGTGATTTAATTAATTTTGCGGACGTGTTAAATAGAAAACTATTGGAAAATCAACATTGAAGCATTTTTTGACAGATTGTGTGGGAAAATGTCATTTGAAACAAGGATTGCCACCCGTAAAATAAATACACTAAAAAAAATTATTGAAATGGTAGGATGTGGTTAAAAGATAATGATAATTATTTTAATTATATATCTTGTGGTTATATTAACTAAAAAACAAAAATTTCAACCATAAATTTAAATTTTCAAAAACATTGCACTATAAAAAAATCTTAAATACAAAACATTTGTAAAGTCATGGATATTCTGTATCTACTTAATTAATAGCTTCTAAAAAGTACAGTAAATAAATCAACTAGTTCCCCCTAATGTATGATTGTGCTTTTGCCATGATTTTAGATGCACCACGAAGTCAACGCAACTTGTTGCAAGTGCTGTTTCTAGTTTTTTCGTAAAAAGTGTAGCACTAGTTAGTATAAGATATTGCTAGGATGTATATTTTTATTGAACTAAAACTAGAACTAACACTAGAACTAAAAAATATCGTCTGAAGACGATAAACCAGGAGCTTTGTAGTTCTAGTGTTAGTTCTAGTTTTACACTATCACTAGAACTAACGTAAGAACTAGAACTAGAATCATTCGCGGTTAGCAGTCTTGAGAAAATTACGGCTAAACCCGAACGATTCTAGTTCTCGGTCTAGTATTAGGTGTAGTTACACTAACACTATCACTAGAACTAACGCAAGACCTAGAACTAGAATCATTCGGCTTTAGCCGCCAAAGAAATCTATCAAGTCAAGGAAATTTCCAATGCAATCATCACAGTCGAAGCCAGGAGGAATTCTCAAAAGATTCAACAATGCCATAACTGCCGACGATATGGACATACGAAAAATTACTGCTCAATGACCCCTTGGTGCGGCAAATACGGTGAAAATCACAACCACACTAATTGCAAAAAAACTTCAAGCTGATCCACCAAAGTGTGCCAATTGTGGATCATCCAGCAAGCTATCGAGGCTGTAAAATTCACATCGAATATCAGAACAAACACCATCGTCAAACAACTTCAGTCCATCTTGCGCAAAGAACCCAGAGCTCACAAGCAATACCTCAAACAAAGATTAATATCAGGAGCTACGCATCGGCAGTAAAAAGCCCGCCCACTCCCGCTCAAGTAGAGAATCAACCAAACCAACAACAATCCTCAGAATGACGGGCACCTCTCCTATCTACCATTCTCTCCTATCTTAAAGATTTCCTTGTTTCCCTAATACCACAAATCAAAACATTCGTAATTTGCTCCCACATTTAATTCACGACTAATCTAACAAACATACGCAACCTAATCATCCTGAATTTCAACGCCAATGGTATTAAAGAACAATGAACTCTTCTTATTGCGATTTTGGCTCGCTATCAGATTGATGTAGCTTGTATCACGGAAACACACCTAGCTCCAAGTGAGACTTTCCGAATAGCAGGATATAACGTATATAGAGCAGATAGGCCTTCCGATACAGTTGCCGGAGGGGTGGCATTTATAATTAAAAGACAAATTCAACACCATCAATTTAGCAGTAAAACCACCGCTATTGAAGTAACGGCAATAGCAATCCAAATAAATAAGTCAACTCCAGTTAATATCATATGTGGATACTAACAAAAAACTACTAGAAACTGACATAAGTTCAATGTTGAGTAGCTCTATACCTACCCTACTTATAGGAGATCTTAACAGCAAGAATAAACTCTGGGGATACAGAGCAGATAATCCATCGGGACTGAATCTGGAATTATTAGCAACCAAATACGGTTTTCAAGTGCACTTTTACCTACTTTCCATATAGAAGCGATTATCAACCGGATATTTTAGATGTATGTAGTAATAACCAAAAATTTTACCATCCAGTTAAATCTGTGTATAATCAGCGAGTTAAACTCGGATCATTTGCCAGTAATCATCACCATTGCAGAGCAACCTGACTACAGACCTAAAATTAATAAGCAGATCAATGGATTCATCAACTGGGCAGAGTTTGGAGACTCACCGAATAATCAAGAATTTAACTTACCAACATCAGCTACTCATCAAGGAAAAACGGAGGGTTCACCGAAAATGGCAATAGACGCGTAACCCAGAAATAAAAACTACACTGAATAGACTAACTCATACAATTTCTCAAGAACTAGATGCCTATAGAATCAACAATTATAGAAAACTCACCCGGGGTGTTGTGGAAGACCACTAGTAAAATAACGCGGACATATGAAGAAATACCTACCATATTAGTCAATTCAACACCAGTATTCTCGGACGAAGACAAAGCCAACACCTTTGCGGAATATCTGGAAGAATGTTTTCGACTGAATATCAATAATGACAATATTCGTCACATTACCACAATTTAACAATATAATGATCCCATCTACTACCTTCAGTAACTACCGAGACCGACAGGATCTTAATTAGTAGAAGAACTAAACGTAGAAATAGCAAACTCGCCATTAAAAAAAGCTCCAGGCCTAGATCAGATACCTAATATAGTGTAAACACATAACACCGGAAGGTGTAATAAAACACCTTCCGGAGAAACTACTGAGTCACATCACAGGAATTTTTAATCGCTGTCTGGAAATTGGTTACTTTCCGGTAGTATGTAAAAAAACGCGAATAGTAATGTTCAGAAAGCCAGGCAAAATCAATACGGACCCAGCCAATTATCGCTCAATCAGTCTAATCTCATCCTTATCTAAGCTATTCGAACGAGTCATCCATCATCGACTACAAGAAGAGTTAAGCCTCCTCAAAATAATCCCAAACATCCAGTATGGATTTAGAGAGAGACACTTCACGGTTCACCAACTGGCAAGAGTAGCGGAATATATCGAGATAAGGTTCGAGGCTAAAAAGTTTACAGCTGTTGTTTCGCTGGATGTAGCAAGGGCTTTGATAGTATCTGGATTGAAGGATTAAAATACAAGCTCAATCAAACGGGGTTAAGCAACTATTTAGTTGCCATTCTGTTCTCCTAACTGGAGGAGAAAACTTTCTCTGCCACCATCAATGGATACTCCTCCAGCACTCGAAGAATACTTGCAGGCGTCCCACAAGGTAGTAGTTTATCCCCTGCTCTGTTCAACATCTTTATGCATGATATCCCGACCGACGTAAACTTCAAAATGGCCATGTTTGCGGATGACATGTTAATAATGGGACAAAACGGCATCCCTACTGATGCTATTGAGACACTTCAAAGGTCAGTGGACAAAATCCAGAAATGGTTATCAAAATGGGCCATTCAGCTCAATGCCAGACCAAGATCTTTTCGCTAAGACCTTATCGAAATGCTCCTTACATTATTATAAACGATCAAGAAATACAGTGGAAAGCAAAAGATGAAGCCATTAAATACCTCGGAGTTCTTGATCACCGCCTCATTTGGAAACTCCTCATAAACTCAAAGGTCAATCAAGGATATGCCAGGCTTCGCCAATTGTATCCTCTGATCAGTAGAAAATGCGAACTGAGTGCACTCTACTTCTTTACAAAGCCCTCATCGGGCTACTAGTAACTTACGCCTGCCCAGTTTGGAGCAATTCATCAACTTCAAACATGAGAAAAATTCAAACCCTACAAAATAAACTTTCGCGGATCTCAGCGAACACGCCGTGATTTGTAAGAAACGAGGAGCTCCATGAAGACTTAAATATCCCAACTATATTTATTAAAAAACTAACAACAGTTTTTAACAATATCATATATAAGTAAGTGGTCTAGTGCGGTTCAGCATCAAGTTGGTCGCCTACAAATCCACACGCGTCTAAAGAGAAAGCTTCCGCAAGACCTAATAGCATCCAATTCGGACTAGCATTTCACAGCTCGGAAATTACATATTCTCTAATCCATAGTATTTATATGTAATTATTTCTTTTTTTTCATTGTCATTGTTGAACTGGTTTTAAAATAAATGAAAAAAAAAGTCGTCTTTAGAAACGTGCGGCTAAATCCGAATGTTTCTAGTTCTCGATCTAGTGTTAGGTCTAGTTCTACAGTAGCACTATCACTAGAACTAACATAAGACCTAGAACTAGAATCATTCGGATTTAGCCCTCTTGAGAGACGTGCGGCTAAACCCGAACGTTTCTAGTTGTCGGTCTAGTGCTAGGTGTAGTTTTACACTAGAACTAACATAAGACCTAGAACTAGAATCATTCGGGTTTAATCGTCTTGAGAGACGTGCGGCTAAATCCGAATGTTTCTAGGCGGCCGGCAATATTTCGAATTTTGCTAGTGTAATTTTTGCTTAAAGCTGACCAATAGCGACCTTTCTTTTTGGCGCTTTAATTTGAAAACACTCCTCCGAATTAAAAAAATTGAGTATAGGATGTGGTTAAAAGATCATGATAATTATTTTAATTATATATGTTGTGGTTATATCAACTAAAATAACAAAAAAAAATTGCAACCATATAATAAGTAAATTTTCAAAAACATTGCACCATAAAAAAATCTTAAATACAAAACATTTGTAAAGTCATGGATATTCTGCATCTACCTAATTAATAACTTCTAAAAAGTACAATAAATAAATCAACTAGTTCCCCCTAATGTATGATTGTGCTTTTGCCATAATTTTAGACGCTCCCTTTTCAATCAAACTTTCAGCCAAAGTTCGCCCCAACTCTTCAGCTTGCCGAAACACCTTAACATTAACACCGGGATAAGAAACCAGCCCGCAAAATAAATTACTGTTTACAATTTGTTCTTCGCTTTCAATAATATTATTTTCCTTAACTGTAACCACATCGACTAATTTTCCATCTTTTAAAAATGGACATTTTGTAACATCCATTGCTTTACCCATAATTTTTCCATTAACAGGACATTTTCCTGTCATTTCACCATCTAAATATGGACATTTCCCCATGAAATCAGCACCAACAGTTAAATGCACTGGGCAGTGATCGTTTTTACCAACATCTGTATCACTAGAAGTTGATACAGAACCATTTTTGTCATTTTCTGAAACTTTTAGTTTCTTTTTGGGTTGATATGGACATTGAGTGTCGTTATATAAATTTCTTTTACACATATTTTTGCATGTTTGTAAACACTCAATATCGCCTTCTTTACATGAATTCTCATTTTTTGATTTTGGACAATTTTCACATTCAATTTGAACATTATTCATGTATAATTTACAAGACTTGGATTCTTTTAATTCTTCTGAACCGTCTAAGGACCAAACTCCACCGCTTAGAGATAAATTAAATGTGGAGTTATCTTTTTGTTCTTTTAATTTAGAAGTTATAGCAACTGGGGCGCTGCAACCGCCTCCAAGGGTACACAAAAACGTTCTTTCTGCGATTATTCGAAGTGCAGTGGGGACGTCGTAAATTGGTTTTAAAAGTTCGAGAATTTCTTCATCATTTTCTCGACATTCAACTGCTAAAGCACCTTGACCCACCGCGTATAAAATATCTTCACAGGGAATTAATTTTGATATTCTATCTTTCCACCCCATTCTATGTAAGCCGGCGACGGCTAAAACAATTCCATGATACTTATCAAGTTCATCTAATTTTTTTAATCTAGTATTTAAATTCCCACGTATATTTTCAACTTTTAAATGAGGATACTTCTTGTTAATTTGTGCTGCTCTACGTAAACTGGATGTCCCAATAACACTGTCTTTAGGTAAAGTATCCAAATCACAACCAGAACAATCTTTACGCAACACCAAAGCATCTCGAGGGTCTTCTCTAGTTAAAACAGCTCCAATAGCCATATTTTCAGGTAAAGTAGTAGGTAAATCTTTTAAAGAATGCACCACGAAGTCAACACAACCTGTTGCAAGTGCTGTTTCGAGTTCTTTCGTAAAAAGCGATTTTTCACCAATCTTTGGTAAAGGAATATCTAAGATTTTATCCCCCATCGTACACATAGTAACGATTTCAAATTCCTTTTCAGGATGAACTTCTTTAAGAAGTGAAATAACATGATTTGTTTGAATTAAAGCCAACTAAACGAAAAGGTAAAAGAAATTTGATTAGGTAAGGTTTTTAATTGAAATAAATTATGTAATTACCTCGCTCCTTCTAGAACCGACTTTAATAATTGTAGAATTTTTCTTAGATTCGTTCATTTTATTTCGATTTGAGACGATTATTAGGAGGAAAAGGGTTATCTCCACGGAATGATTACCAGCATAATAATCAACTTTCACTCGTTAGTTTATCAGTCACGAACGTTAACAGAAGTGCTCACCTACTTTTAAATCGCGTCACGTAGCATGATTTGGAGGTTTTTTTTTTTTAGTTTTGAATTGCAAAATTGGTTATCGAGTGTTTACTAAAACATCATTAAGAATTCCAAATGGATTATAAAATTCTCGAAATTCTATTAGAATCGATTACTGTAATGGGTTTAATTCAATAAAATATGTGATAAAGCGATTTAGTGATTTTTTAATTTTTAAGGTTATGACATAACCTTTTAAACGTCATGGTAAAAATAAGTTGGTTTTTTGTAAATTAAAATTGTGAATAAATCAAAATATTCGAAAGTTGTATTAAAACCGATTATTTTAATAACTTAACTCAAAATTTATTGAATAAAGTATTGCTGATATAAATAATTCGATTTTTAAAAGTTTGGTAAACGTCATGTTAAACGTGACGTTGCATCAAAGTGACAGTAACGAATAAAATCAATAAAAAAAATGTATTAAATTATAAATTTATTATTTTTATTACTAATAAATAATGCCATCAAGTTTTTTAAGTGATAAAACATTAATTTGTTATAATTAACAATTTTGAGTAGGTGCAAATCTGTCATATGACAACCGACATAACCTAAAAAACGATAAAGTATCTCTAAATTACCTATAAGTCAAGATTTTTAAATAAAACTATATAATTTTTGTTAAAATTTAATTAAGTGAGTAAAAAAGCCACAAAAAACTATTCATAGTTTTTATTTTAGTATCAAATTATCGAAATTTCATAAATAACGTGATAACCTCTAAAAAACATCAAAAGTGACAGTGACAACTATTTTGGTTTTCCTTCTTTAGTTAAAATCGATTTTAAAATGAAAATTATCAATAACCAAGAGAAATCTCGAAATGTTTGCTAATAATTTAAAATTGTATCATATCCCGAAATTAAGGATCTCAAAGAAAGTGTAAAAATAAGGGTTAACGTGTTCAAAATGGTATCCCATTTATTCTACATTTATGGTGAAACCTGCAGTAAATACCCATGGGAAGTAATCGTAGCGACGGTGACTTTAACAGTATGCATATCAACCCTCGATCAATCCACTATCCAAGCTTCACCCTCAAAGTCTGATTCATGTTGTGTCCAAGAGTATTCTCCTGTAGATATGATTGTAATGACAATAATAAGATGTTTAGCTGTTTTGTATAGTTATTACCAATTTAGGAATTTACAAAAACTTGGCTCTAAATATATTTTAGGTATAGCAGGATTATTTACGGTGATATCAAGCTTTATATTTACAACAACCTTATTAAACTTGCTCAATATTAATCTGGCAGATCTCAAAGATGCAATGTTTTTCTTTTTGTTACTAATAGATTTATCGAAAGCTTCAATGTTAGCTCGATACGGTTTAAGTGCAAAAAACGAAAACGAAATTAAGGAGAACATTGCTAAAGGAATGGCCTTTTTGGGGCCCACCATGACGTTAGATACGATTGTGGAAACTTTAGTTATAGGAATAGGAACTCTATCAGGGGTGCATCGATTAGAAATGTTATCCTATTTCGCTTGCCTATCAGTTATTGTAAATTACATAGTTTTTATGACTTTGTACCCATCTTGTTTGTCATTAATTATTGAGTTGAGTAAGAAAACGCGTAGAAATGTCGTCGTAACTCAATGTATTGAAATGGAAGAAAAATCAAATCCTGTTATACAAAGGGTAAAAATAATAATGTCAATTGGATTATCAGTTGTACACCTAGTAAGCAGAAGATCTTTCAAAAACGAAACCGAAATTTACGATAACACTCTCAATAACGGTACTTTATTCAATGGATATTCGCTTAAATGGTTAAGTTTATGTGCTGATCATATTGTCGTATTAATATTATTATTTGCGCTTATTGTAAAATTAATTTTTTTCGAAAATAACGACGGTTTTAGTTCATTTTCGAAAATCGATTCGCCAAAAAACCAAGAAATTCAAGTAAACACCATCAATAACGAATTAATTTGGGACGCAGGTGAAGATAATCAACCAAATAGAAACATAATTGACTGTCTAGAAATACTTAAAACAACACCAAACGAACTAACTGATAAAGAAATGATCGTTTTACTCAAAGAAAAACACATATCTTTGTATAATTTAGAAAAAGTCGTTAAAAACGCTGCAAAAGCCGTTCGAATTCGGCGAAAAGTTTTTAGCGAGCACAAAAAATTAGATCAAGCTCTGTCACTTTTACCATATCAAAATTTTGATTACGAAAAAGTTTTGGGAGCTTGTTGTGAAAATGTAATAGGTTACGTTCCGCTACCAGTTGGTATTATTGGCCCTTTAAAATTGGATAATACCGAACATTTTGTTCCAATGGCTACAACGGAAGGTTGTTTAATTGCGAGTACTTCACGTGGTTGTAAAGCAACGTTTCAAAATGGAATTACAAGCAGAATTGTGCGTGATGGAATGACCAGGGGACCGGTAGTTCGATTTCCATCATTAGAAAGTGCAGGAAACGCTGTCTCATGGATCGAACAACCCAATAATTTCAAATTATTAAAAAAGACATTTGATTCAACCAGCAATTTTGCTCGATTAAAAAAGATTACTTCTCGTATAGCGGGTAGATATCTTTTTGTGCGATTTGTTGCGTCAACTGGAGACGCAATGGGCATGAATATGTTATCGAAAGGTTCTGAAAGATCATTAAAGTATATGCAAATTCATTTCCCTGAGATGGAAATTTTAAGTTTAAGTGGAAACTTTTGTACTGATAAAAAGCCGGCGGCTATAAATTGGATTGAAGGTCGTGGAAAATCCGTCGTTTGCGAAGCTATAATTTCATCTGAAACTGTAAAAACATTATTAAAAACGACAAGCCATTCTCTTATCGATGTGAATATCTCGAAGAATTTGATTGGGTCAGCAATGGCTGGAAGTTTAGGTGGATTTAATGCTCACGCTGCGAATATTGTCACGGCAATTTTCATTGCAACGGGTCAAGATCCTGCTCAAAACGTTGTCAGCAGTAATTGTATTACATTGATGGAACCATGGGGGTTAAACGGGGAAGATTTATATATAAGTTGTACAATGCCTTCAATTGAAGTTGGTACTGTTGGAGGTGGAACAATTTTACACGCACAATCTGCTTGTTTGGAAATGTTGGGTGTTAAAGGAAGTAATGTTGAAAATCCCGGTGAAAATGCTGGTTTATTAGCTAAAATTATATGCGGAACTGTTTTAGCTGGCGAATTATCTTTATTGGCAGCTTTAAGTGTTGGCCATTTAGTATCTAGTCATTTAAAACATAATCGATCGTCTACTTCGAGTGTTTCAAATTGAAAACAAATACCAAGTATTATTAGTTTATAAGGAATTAAATTTAAAAAAAATGGAAATAGACTTTAATTTTTTTTGTGATTATTATAAATTATTATTAATTAATAAAGATTTGTAGTACAGAAACTTATTTATTTTATTATCTTAAGATGCAAAGTTGAAAAAAATCCATTTTACCGGTAAGTAAGTAAGATTTAAATAATAGATTGAGTTCGCGATTCGAGTAACAGGCCAGTTCGAAAAATACACTTTGCTGACGTAAGACGTGATGCATACAAAAATTTTTTATACTTTCACTGGTGTTTATCTATTTTAAGAGCTTGCAGGCTCCTTTTTTATTAGAATTATAACCAAAACCCTTACCCAAAGACTCAAATATCAACACAAAACGCTTAACTAAATAAACAAAATAATACTATAAAAACACTAAGCTCGCAGGCTCGATATATTCCAACACTAGACTAAATAAACGAAATAATACAATATAAAATCTAACAACTAGTTTATTTTTACCCGTGTAAAGAATGATAAATTCCATCCATAAAAAACTTTTTAGTTTGTGTATCGATTTGAATGATTAATAGGTCATTGGAAAGATCTCGTAGAGTAGAGTCTAACATAGTTGTGAACGGGAACATCTTAAAATCCGCGAGAAACAGTAAAATACATAAAAAAATTCTCTAACTTTAGAATCCCAAACATTTAATACTAATTAACATAATATCATATATGATTAGTAAATCAGAATACGTATACTGAAATTCTAAAAATAACCGATAAATTATGTCCATAAATATAATTAATAATATAATAAATATAACTTAATACGAGATGTGCAATAAACGCAAAGTGAAACAAAGTGCCAGAAGAGACTTGGGCGAAACGCTTAGAGAATGTAGTTACAAGTTAATTTTAAATTAATTAATTTGTTCTACATAGAAAATGAGAACGCTAGTTTTTACGGTTTTTAATTTGAATGATTTATTTTTTTGTTGTTTTTATCTTTTTTATTAATATTATACGATATTATATTATAATGAATGTAGCGGTTGCCACAACACCATACAAAGACAATTACCATAAATTAACAGGAAAATTAATTATTATATCTTAAATGCGTTTGAGGTGGGTGTTGTAGTAAAATTAATGCCTTGGTTCGTTTACGCAATATTTTGAAACAGAATGTCGCCAGAGTAACTTAACTTTTTCTTTGGTAGCTGTTATGTTGATTTTGATTCACGACATTTGACATTATCGAATATTTCCAGACTTTTGTTCGATTCTGTACATCAACGTGATCCTGGACAAATTACGATTCGCTAGATTTATGTCAAGCATCGATTTTAAAAAGAGGTATTCATTTAAACGTTAGAAAATTGAGATATTACAGCTTTTACTCTTCCTGGGAGTGGTTGTTCAGTTCAGGTTTATACTTTTTGAATATATATCACCTCGGCTACTTTTGAAAAGTTGATAGAAACAGTCATTGGATGTTAATATCATTAAATGTTAGTATTACTTTAATCATCGTCTGAAAATACACCATTATGATATCTCTTATACCCACGCTGATGTTGCTCAGCTCATTGATTATCTTTTCACCAACAGCTTTTACTTAGGATTGTATAAATGTGCTATGCACTTGCATTGTCCCACATAAAATGCAACATAGCTTATAGTACAGGGTGTCCCAATTTCGATGTCCGCATAGGCTATCTCCGAAACTAAAAGAGATAGAAAAAAAGTAGCTTACATGTCATGATCTCGTTTTTCGAGAAAATGCTAATGCCGAAAACTCCGAACAGCTATCGTCTTTTGTTTTCGCCCTATCGGCAAAAACTGAAAATTTTGCGAAAACGACAATCGCGAATATCTCACTTATTATCAAAGATGGAGTATTATAAATAAAACATTATATGGGCAACTTTTTACGAAGAATTCAGTGG